GCCAAGAATCGTTAGCAACAACAATCTCGGGTTGCAATTGCACTGTGTGATATTGTACCACTCGCACCAAACGAATTAATTCTGCCACATGTTGCTAGGATCGTTGGGGTCGCCTGATTACAAGGCAGGGTGACCTGGAAATGCAACTGTAGCATCGATACTAGGTGAGGATTAATGATTCACAATTGTCCGTTTGGAGCTTTCGTTGTTGCTTCTAAGCAGGTTGCAATCAATGAAAGAATCCCAACACCAGCGGCTGCAGCCTCCAGGTGACCCATGTTTGCCTTCACTGAAGATATGAATACCCCAATCATCAGAAGAGTCTGTGATAGCGCCTTCACAGTCGAGCCAACTTCAATTGGGTCTCCAAGCAAAGTCCCTGTTCCATGGGCCTCCAGGAGGCCAGTTGAAATGTTCATACTGTGAGAGTCTTGGACACATGAGGAGATCAGCCTAGATTATGCGGATCCATTTGGCGCGGTGAGGCTTGCACTATGCCCGTCAGATTGAACGCCGGTCTCGACCACTAAGCAGCCTCAGACACTGTTCTACGGGGTCACCGTACAAGTTAAGAGCTGGATGGCAACGCAGCTTTCGCTGCGTACGTACCCATCGCCACGAAAATCAAACGTGTGACATCATCCCTATGAAGAAAGCATTCCATTTGTTGCAAAACCAACACTCCAAGCTGGGCCAAGCAAACCAACACCGAGCACAAAAGCGGCCTCACAGGCTTAAACACTTAACTCAGATCATGCGAGATGTACAGCTACCAGAAATGATGAGCATGCGGTGTCCAATGTGAGGCAGGCTCCGGTTAGGCCGAAAGTAAATGACACTAGTCCGGACGAAATGTTGGCATGCGTGGGTGAATACGCCGAGTTAGATTGTACAGTTCCTTCCACAGGCTGTGTTAACATTCCAACATAAACTGCTACATTATTGCCAAAACATCATGCGTGCCGGTGCTCAAGGCAAAGTCCAGAGTGCTATAGTAGATGCATATTCTGAGGGTCGTGACTCTGCGCCACTTTCAGGGCTATGCAACATGAATTTCCCTCCTCGAACGTCGCAATTCCGGCCATAAATGAACCATAAGAAGCAGCAGGTTGCCTCAAGGACGACGGATCGTTCCAACGGGCGAATGGCACTTTCCCAGGACATGACATTAGGGTCGTTCGAGACAGATAAAGGCTCTCAGCGTGGCGGATGCCCCCTGGTAAATGAAAACTGTAATGCTCGACGATAAATTTGCGACACTTGGCAGAAGCAGATAATTCGGTGTTAAAACCTCGAGGGCGTGGGTGAGTCGCGCCTGGTTTTCGCAACAAAAAATCTGCAAGATCAGCACGTGTTGGATGATCAAAGATCAACGTTGATGGGAATTCACTGCTAGATTTTTCTGAAATTGATCACACAAATTCGGCACCAGTGATTGAGTTTAACCCTGAGGTCAGGAAAGATTCATTGTGTCCAAGTTCAGTTCCAAGGAGCTAGAGTGTAGCGAGAAATACAAAGCGTACCAATTCTGATTGCTGACCCGCGCCTTGTTCAGAATGCAGTCTCAGGATAAATTTTCTACGAGACTATGTTTGCAGAATCCAAGAACGCAGATTTGCAATTGCGGGATGACTACCAAGACTTGCCAAGTTGCCAACAGACAGCTCGTCGTCGGACCACTCTTGTGAAATGGAGGTAACAAGCGCATCGAATGGATAGGCGAGTGGAGTATGTGATTCGGAAATGTAGCGCGCCTTGCAGATATCAACAAGACTCGACCATTCCTTGGAATTTTAAATGACAAATTACGCGGGCAGGAATCAACGATGATAGTTTAAGCTTCACTAAATGACGCGCTGCCGGACTTTAGCAGCAAATCCTAGGTTGCTTCCCGGCATCTTCATCGTTGCAAACGCACGCGAGACTGAGGCGTCCACCACGTCGACTGCGCAACCCGTGGTAGGTAACTAGTTTTCGACCTCAAAAGCGGTCATCAGGGCAAGAGCACTAAACGCAGCTGCTTCCAAATAGCTTGAACCACTCGGACTTTGGAACCCCTAGGCGTCATCGAGAATAAGCTCAGCTTGAAAAACAATGTTCGAGCGTACTACGTTGTTAGAAAAGATCAGGTTGCTTCCTAGCAGCTGTCTAACCTTCTCGTTTTTCCAGAACCCGGCACATGCGACAATTGCATCGCAGCCAACCACAGAGCCAGACGAGATCTTCACGTCGCTATGTTAAATGTTTTCGATTTCCCCCCTGATTGTGGAGAGCAGGCCATAATAGTGAGCCACTAACCATATGTCTGATACCGAAATCGAATAACCGTGTGGGGTGATTAATCCGTCTAGCCAACATTCTGGTTAAGTCACCTTGCATTTTTCAAATACAGACATCCATGTAGCAAAAATGAGTTGAGACCCTGACTTAGCATGGGCGTAACTGGCATCATACGGGCGTGCAAAATTGAGATAATCGACTATCAAAGGACAAATCGCACCTCGTCACCTTTGAACTACTGCCACGCGGTCGGCACCTTGCTCAAGCGTAGTACGAGCATTTTCACTAGCAAAAGCACCCGCACCGACTATGAGAACCATTTTCGATGAATAACAAGCACCCAACATCTCGTTGGCGACCCCAAAACAGAAATTTCCAGAAAAGGTGTATAGACCAGGGAGGTGCAGTCGTCAAAGCTCCCCAAGCCTTCAATTCACGCAGAGAAACAAAAATGATGCAGAAAACAAATAGCGCCGCACGTGCCAATAACTGATGGAATGTGAGTCTCTGCACGTGCGAATTCCTTGCACAAAAACACCAAATTGTATTCTCTAGTGAGATAAACGGAAGCCAAGAAGTACAAATCATGGATTATCTGTGATGTTGGTGTGTGATCAAAATTTATGACAGATCCGGTTTCCGCGACACGATATGCAGCTTCAGAGGTGTTGACTCTTGACGACACGTTGGCTTACTAATGCCATACGCCCCCAACAGCACGGCAACGCTCAACAATGATACATTGGTCACCATCAGTCTGGATTCTGCGACCGAGCATGACACCTGAAAGTCCTGCTCCTATTATTGCAAATGGGATGCTACTTCCCAGAAGTCTCAAGGGTCGAATTCATATTGGTTGTGACGACTGGATACTGGCAGATATGATCTTGCAAATCTGATTCTCATCGCTATCACTGCAAACCTCGAAGCATGTTGATTTTTTGGCTGGATATCCAAACAAAAACAAACGTGGGCTGATAGTTGGTTAGGAAGCAACATAAGTAAGCAGTTGCGCACCTGATTTGCCAAAACCAATTACTATGTTGACAGTGTGCGATTGTGACTGAATTACTCTTACAAGTTCGCAAGGACTGATGGATGATGCGAGCGGTACAAATTTAAATTGCAGACTCTTCTAAGATCTCATATGCCGCAACAAATATGCAACATCTCGCTTTTTTCAAATGATAAGAACCATAATGGTTGGACAAATACGTCAAGAAACGAACTCCTGACGTTGCAGATGTTTGGCTCCGAACATCTAGGTTCAACAGAAATGACGCTAGACAGCAATGGTGAATCCACAATATCGATAGTACGAAGCGAGTTGAATATTCGATTAACTGTTGAGAGAGAAATTCCGGCCGGAGAATAACCCATGTGCAATCGTACCAGTTGCACCCAGCGAGGTGAGTCGAGCCTGAAAAACATACGTCGATATGATATCACTCGCGATGTGAAGTGTGTCTCCAATGATTGTAATCAAATGAGGATTCAGCCTTCGAACCTGTGCGTTGGAAACAATCCAGCCAGTTGGGAGTGACGCCACGACCACCGAAACAGCCCCAGCGCCACCTGCGACAGCCTCGAGATGGCCCATATTTGCCTTGAGTGATGTGCACGGAACCTCAGTTCCGGATTTACGCAGTGCACCGACAGCAGCACCGACTTCAATGGGGTCTCCTAGCGCGGTCCCTGTGCCGTGTGCTTCAAGAATAGAATGATTGCCTCATACCCCTGCCCGGAGTGACACCGCGCTGATGAGCCGTTGTTACGCTGATCCATTCGGAGCCATCAAACTGGCACTCGGTCCATCACTCTAAACCAATGTCGCGCAGACCTCACAGAAAGCTCATCCTCCCCCGGCCTCATCTAGGACGACCGTGACACAGCCTTCGCCCCGACAGTACCCGTCTCCTCTGCCATCAAAGGTGTGACATCGGCCAAACATGGAGAGCATGCCCTGCCTAGCAAAAGCACAAGTAAATATTGGTCCGAGAAGCCCAACCCCCGAGGCTATGCCCCCTCAACATTCGCCGTGTTTCAAGGTAGCAGAAGCGAGATGAATGGCGACCAGTTGCGAAGAGCAGGCTGTGTCGAGGGAAACGCTAGGACCTGTGAGGCCAAATGTGAATGACACTTGCCCACTGGCAAAGGAAGTCTGAGGAGCTCCTTCCATGGAAGGATCACTGGCCGTCGCCTTTTCACAGGCTATCCA